TTTTTTTTTTTTTTTTTCGAAATTATGTTGATTTTGTCATCTAAAAGTCTTACCTAGGGTGGTGTTTAAGATGCTTTTATACACTTTGTTGTTATTCACTAAAGTTTTCCTATAGACAATAGGTTTAAGCTTGCTCCTTTGACTAGCTTACAAAAAAAAAAATGAGTCAATGCGTTCGAAAAAACTTGATTTCGCACACAACACCAACATTTAATGTGTGGAAAACATATTTTCATCGTGAAAATCATGTTTTGGAATAATAGTTTAAGTATATAAAAAACAAGGCATTACAAATAGTTGGGATGCTTTTTTTGCAGCTGTATTCGAGTCACATGATATTGGTGCATAATTGGCCCTTCGTGTTGTATTGCAGCTGCTCTCGAAAGCTTTTTCAAGCCTTACCCGAGTCAAGAGAACACCTCGAATTATGAAAATACCCTTTCCACCCGAGACGACCCAGCCCCATGGTGGCAGAAACAGAAACAGATAATCACGGAAAGTTGAAACCATCAATGAATCAGCATCCGCCATGTGGCAGCCAAAAAAGTCGACACTTTCGGAGCTCAGTCATTGAGTTGACCGACGAGCTGCAGAGAATTATGAATAAATCCGAATTGGGTGGACTCGTAAATGGCATTGGCAACGACGAGGGCTCGTCGAGGGTTCAATAGTCCGGTGAGATCATCACAAAGGAAGATAAAGGTTGTAATATGGAGGCTTAGAGGATCTCTCATGGGTCAAGTTAATCTCATTTTTTTTTTTATTTTTTTTTATGGTTTTGAGTGTTTTTAAATGAATAAAATCAGAATATTTAATTATTTTAGTGTTAACTGTAATTAAAAGATAATATTTTTATCATTTTGGTTGTTGAATAGTGAAATTTTATCTTATTTTGTTTATAGTTTTGTAGTAATTAGGCAAAATGTCATTATTTTTTATTATTATTATTTTTTTTTTCTGTAGTTTGCTGGTGATGTATATATATTACTATTACATGAAAGGTTCAAATATTTGACAATTCTTTTATTATCTCGTGCACCTTGCATCCCATAATCCCATTAAATATTATTATTATTTTTTTAAAAATAAAAATAGCTATTTCTTGGGTTATTTTCTATCTAAATCGTAAAAAATGTGTCGTCTGCTAGAATCTAATTTATAGGGACCATAATTTCAATATGATGAAAATAAAATAAAATAAAATAATAATAATAATAATAATAATAATAATAATAATAATAATAATAATAATAATAATAATAATAATAATAATAATAATAATGAA